CGTCCCCACGCCCAGGTCCCCAGGGCCAAGCTTTTAGTAGCGTGTTGCATCTGGCCACGTGCATGCTGCACTTAAGCCCAGAGCTAAAACCAACTCACATGCGCCGCAGTCATTTTGGATGTGCAAGGTGCACACACACCAACCAATCTAAACTAATCTCAACAAGAGTACGCACACTGCAAAATCAAACCAAATGCTGCGGGTGTCCAGTCGAGAAAATTGCGTTGTGCTGTTGACGCACAGGTGGTGCAGCTGCGACGGGAGCTGCATTCGGGGCACGTGCGGCAGTGTTTGCCGCATGCACGCACTTGTTTGGAAGTGACTGATCTGCTTCATCCCCGGCGCTGTTGAGAGCCAAGCCATTCAACGTGCCGAAAAGAAAATTGAGTCAGCGGAGACTGAGGGATTTGGTATCAACTCAGAACACTGCAACGTTATTTACAGAGTGCTGTCAGGATGACAAGTTTGTGAAGTCATGTAGCTTCTGAAGGACAATCAATACAATGTGTTTTAAAATGGTGGGACCACAAAATGGTTGGTGTCCAGTGTCCTTTTGGTTCTCCTAGAAAGCATCCAAAAATGGTACCCTCAAAACAAGACACCCCCATTGGCACTCCGCTGTCGTTGGAATCTAATAGCAAGTCCAAGTGCCTCACTCTCCAGCCCACTCGCTCCAGCCACTGGCTGGGTTGTCCCAAGGTCCTGACTCTCCTAGTGACTCATTCTGCGGCGGATCCGGTTCCGCCTCCTGGCAGCCACCCAAGCACTTGATTCCCAGCTGACGACGAAAAAGAAAACGCTCTCCTTCTGCGCCAGCCATGCTTCGTAAGCATCTTGGGCAGCTTCTAGGCACGAATTGCCTCACCAACCCCCGAGTCGTTTGTTGGCCTGCTGGATCTGAATGCCGACTGAAGAGCAAGGGCTGGTGTTTGTTTGCTTACTTGCTTGTGGGTTTCGCATCAAGGTCATAAATATAAGACCCATTGTGCCATACGTGTTCCGCTATGGAATGAACTCCTCAAATCTCCGCATGACGGTGATAGCAAAATCTACTTTCGGTGCGACACCGGCCGTGGTTCAAAACACCAGGCTGCTTTCAATCGCTGCAATCCACGTCAAAAGATTCGCAGGGTGAGCAAGTGAATATGATTCTCACCATGCAGCCAAGAAGCAAACAAAGTCTGGCTGAGCAAATTGTGATCGACCTGGCAGAGTGCAAAGGTCGAAGCCAAGTACTTAGAAAGCGGAACTCGAAATGCAAGCCAACTTTCTGGGTTATTTCAAAGGGAAATCAAAGACAACATACTCATTTAGAGACAAAACCGCCATGTGGCCAAGGGTCAAAATCCCGTACCCCAGTGAACATCCCAATCCCCACTAAAATAGACAAAAATGGGTGGTGCACCTACCCCAAATTGGTACCATTGGTTTTGATCCACAGCCATGTCTCCGCTGATTGCGGGCCTTCTTCGCCGTGCAGCTTCCCCAGAGACTGTGGGCAAATGCGCTCGCACCAGCCGCAACGGACCGCTGCACCGGGGTTGGAGTACCAAAGGTCCTGCATTCCCGTTGCAGCCCGCGAATGGAGCCATGAGGGTGGGCTCGTCTTTGTTGGAGTTTGTACCCCTGTCTTATGCTTCGGGCACATCAAAAGGAAAACCACTATTTGTTGGGCGCCCCCTAAAAAAATGACACACCCACGACTGAAGAAAGCTATCGACGTGTGCCGTGAATTGCATCGTGAAGCTGTGAATGAGTCAGCTAACGTCCTCATCTCGATAGCTTTCCACGTGAATGACTGCTTTCAAGCCTACCAAACAGGTCCAGTGTGTTTGCTCAGGACTTCAGATGGATTGTGGATCGTAACTCACACAAATGCGCAGGTAAACCATCGCTTCTGAGCGCCACGCCAGTCACGTCATCCAAAAGATAGCTATCCTCCACTTCCACCTGCAGGCCGCGCTAGTGCCTTCGAGAAAATCCCGCTGGCCATGGCAATCTCACCATCGCGTCTAGAACAACAGGAGACCCCTTCAAGCGCCTGCGCAAAAGAGACAGACGCAACCGGCCGCTTCTCCCTCCGCAAATTTGAACGTGCTGCCGGCAATGTCCTCAGTCACTGACTTTTCCGGGTCTGAATTTAGTGCAAAAGCCGAACCCCCTCATGTGGCCATGCTACGTGGGTGCGTCTTTTTCAGGGGACCCCAAAAAACAATGTTCCTTTTGGTGTCTCTTCAAAACCAACCAACAAAGGGTACCAGCTCCAAAGAAAACGCGAGCCACCCACATGCAACCCAGTATCATCGAACACACACGCACACACACACACACACACACACACACACACACACACACACACACACACACACCTCCCATCGCTTGCCTGTGCAGCGGCTGCCAAACATCGCCGGGCACCGGCTCCTGTACGTGAGCGAAGAAGCCCGGAACAAAAGCAAACCGGTGTCTTTTGTTAGACCCCAACAAAGGCAAACCAGTTCTTTTTTTTGGTTCACCCCTTCAAAACCACAAAACGGGGCTACCCCCAAAAACAAGAAACACTCAACTGGCAGCTGCGTGCCTGAGGAGTACAAGGCTGCGGAATCGGGTCTGCGGCCTCGAGTGCGTCGCAACAAAAATCACAGGCCTCCAGACTTCCAACAGACTCTTTGAAGCACCACTCAGGTGCTACTGAGGCCTTATTCGCAAAACGGTGCCTCCTTTATTGCCGCAAAAGGGTTAGTGCCAAAATGGGAGGATTGCCCAGTTCCACTGGGCAGCTCCCCTCAGCAGCTGATGGGAGTAGGATTGATGCCACTCCCACAGCGAGGGAGGAATCCTCCCACCTCACCGGATGCCCTCCCGGCATCATGGGTGAGGAAGGAAAGTAGCGAAGATCAGCTTGATCAATTCGCTTTCGACTGAGGGGAAGACCCGGTTCTCAGTCGGAAATTGCGGGTCCGGATGAGTAAGTTCATCCGCCCATGTGTTAAAGTCGCGCTTCACATGCGACGGTCCTAACATGACCTGGTGGTCATGCAGTGTTAACACAATTTCCATGAGGATGGCCGCATTGGGCATCCTGCGAGTGGAATCGTTAAGCAGGGAGAAAACGTTTCCCTGGTTATCACTAGCAACCAGAATCCTAGTGTGAGAAGCCGAGCCGGCTGCACAAAGCAGAACAGCCCTCACCAAAAGGAGGAGGCCGAAGAGCTCCAAGGCCGCTATCGCCCGCTGCGGGTCCCCAGTAGTGAAGGCCCACGGCTCGCCCTCCGGTGTGATTCTGTGTTGGAACCACTTCACTCGGGACTTGTCGGGGTTGGGCACGTCCGAGCACCAACCACCAACCCATGCATGGTCCGCCTGTTTGCCAGCTCCCGCATCAGATGCCCCCGTCCATGGAAGTGTGGGAGCAAATGGAGATGCCAGTGGGAACCTCTGGTTGAAGAGCTTCCCCAGAAGGATGGCCAGAGCACGAACCAGCTTCGGTGGCCTGCCCGAAGTGGTGCAGGCCTTCTTCCAGCTCCAAAAGGGCTGGAGGAAAGGTTTCGTCAATGGACACGCCGAAGTAGCCCATTGAATCCGGCCCAGGGCTTGTTCCACCTCCTTGCTGGTAAAGATGTCCCCCTGGGCCAGCCGTTTGAGAGTGGCCAGGATTATGACGTGCTTGACTGGAGCCAGCAGCACACAGGGCGTGATTGGGTCCACCACGAATCCCAACCAGGTATTGACCGGGGAGAGCGCCGTCTTCTTCCAAGAAAGCGGGACTCCCAGCGCCAGAAGAGTGGCCAGGATGGCTGTGGCGTCCCAGTCCGCCCTGCTGCATCTGAGGACCCAGCAGTAGTCGTCCACAAAAACTAAGTGCCAGTCCACCTGAGGGAAGATGTAGTACAAGAGTCTGAGCACCAAGGATGCCTTTCTTCCCCAGTACAGTTGTGCCGAGGCCATGCCGTACGTGCCCACTCTATTGACCCACCACCGGTTCTGGATGCAGGCCACCTGGTATTTCCAGTCTTTCTGGAGCACTTTTATGCGCCTGTGGGCCTTGGTGACATCCGCCTTGAGGATGATGAAGGTTTCCCCCTGTGTCGGCGGCTGCCACGTCAGGGGTTCCCCCCTGCTCCCCCCAGGGCGTTCCGTGCCTGGGGGGGTTGGGGGGAATGGGGCCCTCCTATCAGGGCCCTCGGCACCTGGGAGTGGCCCCTTCCCTGAGGGTGTTGACCGCGGAGAGACGTCCAGGCCGCCGGAGGTCTCCATCATCCGCCTGCCCCTATCAGGGCCCTCGGCACCTGGGGGCAGGCTGGTGCTGTGGGGGTCCCTCTCAGGGCCCTCGGCACCTGGGGACTGCCCCTGCACCGGCTGGTGAACATCCCGAGGTTCCTCATCAGTGCCCGAGGATGGGGCTCGGAGTAGATGAGGATGGTCCGCCGCTGTCCTGAGCCAGTGGATGGCATGGAGGCAGTCTCCAACCATCGGTGCGGTGGTCTTCTCCTCCGTGTGAGCCTGGATGTGTGCGTTTGCTCCCCCTTTTGAGCCATCATAGATCGTCCTGATCTTGTCCGACTCATCAATCCCTGCAAGGGGGCCCGGGCAAAGTTCCTCCGGTTTGCAGCGGCACCTCTCTGCCGCCTCGGAGCGAGTGAAGGGCCCGTCCACCATGTCCAAGGCTCGTTCCTCGTAAAAGGTTGATTCGATTTCCTTGGCAAAGAGTTCAGCCGTTGGGTAGTTATCATGAGCCACTGGCGGGGGGGGATCTTCCCCCAGCCAGGCTTCTCCCTTAAGCTCCTCCTTAGTGGGCCAAACTCCCGGGGAGGTCAAGGTAGGGTCCGAGACTCCCAAGGGGACCCCCTCTTTCAGTGTTAGGGGGAACTCCCAATCAGGGTCACCTGAAAGGGATGCCAAGTGCGACACTAAGTCCAGGAGGAAGGGTTGTCCTGGGCATCGTTCATGGAGGTGCCTCGGTCCTAGGATAGCCCGCAGCTCCTCGAGGTCGGCTTCCTGGAAGGGGTGTGTGGTGGCACCTGATGCCAGGGACATTCGGACCTTGTCAATCCAGGGCCGGGTAAGGGTCATGATCAGGGCGCCCAAAGTAGCCAATGGGGAAATTCTCCGAAAAGGGGGGTTGAGCCTCCCTGGGGAAGGTTTTCCCCCCCCATCCCTCAGGGGGCGTGAGCGGAAACCCAATTGGACAATCGCCACCCGGTCAGTGAGGTGTGGGACCCTGAAAGCGGGCAGGCATTCGGGGCGGTCCAGGACCTGGTCCCCCTGTCCCTCCTTCCCCAGTTGTTCCGCATCTCCGGCCATCGGGGGCATGGGAGATGGGAAGTCTGGGTTCATTGTTCCACGAGGGCTTACGGTGTCTGCCTCAGGGTGGAACTGCCCGTGCAGGCGGGGCTTCGGGGCGTTCTTGCCTCCGGGCTTTGAGCCCTGGTGTGATGAGGAGGGACCGCCTCCTTGACTGGGCCCCCGTTTTCCCCGGGGGGAATGGCCTTCCGGGGGGTCCGACCCCCGCCCCTTAGGTGGTTCCTTGGGGTTTCCCGGAAATTGTGAGGGGATCCGGATGTGCCCCGGCGCTGCGAGTGACACAGCGATGGCTTTGGCCAGGCCTGCCATCATATCCCAAGGGTATCTGCTAAGAGTCGAGGACTCGTTGGTGCCCACATGTGACTGATGCGTGCACCGCATTTGATCCCAGTCCTGGATCGGGAGATCCGTGGCCAGCGTAGTGGCCTTCTTGACCAGCTGGCCCAGGCGGCACTGGTCGAAGGAGATTGCTGTCAAGGAGTTCTCCTCCATCCAAAGCTGCCCCTCCTCCGTGATCCAGAAGGATGAGCATTCCTTGGCTTTGGGCAGCGAGCTGCTCACCACTGGGTCCTCCGGGTGCTCCAAGAAGGATTTTGGCCCTGGCAGCGAGGCCGCCGATCTTGAGGCCCTTGCCAGGCTGGTGATGTACATCTGCCTCAAAATGAGGGTACTGTCCTCATCAAGCTGAGTCTGGGCGGCCTGGTCCAGGTGTGGGAGGCCCCAAAGTGTCTCTCGAGTGCGTCCTCGCACCGGGGTGGGGGCCCCCGGTTTTGGTATGTGGCGCAGGATGGACCATGTCCTGCAGTTGGGTCCTCCCCCAATGAAGACCACTCGGCCCTGCTTTGCTGCCGTGCAGAGCGCTCCATACAGCTCGGGTTGGAGCATGTCGTGGTTCCCTTTTGGTCCGATCGTAGGATGTCTACTGCCACCACCATGCTGGAGAGGTGCGGGTAGTTGGCATGAAGACAGCTGTCTAAGGAAGTTGGGTCTTCCTTGCCTGCATAGAGCAGGACAATGATGGGCCCACTGGATGGAACTTTGGGCGATGTGCCCTGTGTCCATCTCAGCCGCTGTGCCAGGCGCTCCGGGATGTTCTCCATCCACGGGAAGGTGTCCCCTCCCGGTGACAGCTCCGTGGGACTTGTCAGGGGGGTAGCTGAAAGGCGTTGGCCCCCTTCATTCAGCCCAACAGAACTCTTATGAAAAACCACCGGGTCCTGCTTGATGATGTTGGGCGCCGGAAGTGGGACCGGCTGCCTCCTGGGCGTGTTCCTCGGCGTTGCGGTGTGCTGCCAGTTGTCCGGCACTCGGGCCTGCTGGGCGCGGCCCCCCGTGTCAGGGCCCTTGGCACCTGCGGGGAACCGTCCCGCCCCTGCCATCTCAGGGCCCTCGGCACCTGTGGCACGGGGCCGCGGCGTTGCCGTTGTGTCAGCTGTGTGGTTGTTCTGACCCCAGCTGGGGTGTTGTGCACGCTGGTTCTGTCGTCCCCATCCTTGTTCCGCCGAGGAGGGCCGCCGCCTGGCCTGTCCCCCCCCTGTGTCAGGGCCCTCGGCACCTGCAGGAGGGGGCTCATGTGCCTGCTTGGGGCGTTTTCGCCCCCTCTCGCCCCCCCGGGCCCTATCAGGGCCCTCGGCACCTGAGGCCTCCCGGGGGGTCGGGGTCCGAGCCCCTAGTCAACCCGGGCAGTCCTGCGGGAGGTGGTCTCCCAGGCAGATGCGGCCCGTCGCCAGGATGAGGTTGCACTTGTGCGTGCGTCCGCAGTTGCCCGGGCAGCGCCCGCGCATCCAGTTGTTACAGAACTGGTTCCCTTTCGGATCGGTGGCCGCCTGCTTGTTACTGCCCCTGGAGGCCTGATTGTTCGGCTGGGGGGGCTTACCTTTCCCTTTGCTCCCAGGCTTGCCCCTGGACTTCCCCTTGCCCCTGGACTTGTTCTTGCCCTTCTGGGGTGGTGCGTAGTCCATGGATGTCCTGGTCTGTGGGCGGCCCCTGGAGAAGGTCCTGATCTTCTCATAGACCTCACGTGTCCAAAACAATGTGTCCTGCCTTACCGACAGCATGGCCGCCTTGAGGGTGCTGCCCTCGTGCATCTGCTCGTGAATCTTCCGCCATGCATTGCGTTCGGCAATTGCCAGGACGTGGTCCTCGGGAGGGGGAAAACGGCCCCCGATGTCCTCCCCATAGAACCACTCATACCAGCTCTCCAGGTCCTCTCGGGTGATGTCGAACTGGCCGAACTGTGGAAACGATAGGACGCACATGAGGAGGGTGTTCCGGAACACCGCGTGCATCCTCTCGAGCTGGTGGCGAGTTTTC